ATATATACACACACATAGGCATGGTTGGGGATGCATCTAGTTCAGTGGTACAGTGCTTGCCTAGCATACCTAAGCCTCTGGGTTTAATCCTCACATAGCAAAAGGGGGAGGGTAATAACAAATTTAGGGGTTTGAAATGCTTTTGACTAAAACAGCAGTTGTGAGCTGTGGACTGTATTCTTGGAAAATTATAACTGGTGTCACAGCAGGGCTATTATTAGCAACATTGTATAAATCTCGTCCACCTCCTTGGGCCTAAGTTTTCCCGCACCTTGGATGGGAATGACAACACTCACCTGCCAGAGTTGTTGGGCTGCAGTGAGGGGCCCAGTGAGGTTACATGCCATGTGTGACACACTATGATTACATAATCACAGGCCTGCAATTTCTTCTCTGTGTGACCATTTAAAATGGACTTGCCTCTCTGAGGGTTTTCTCATCTGTCAAATGGTACTCAGAAGAGCCCCACTCCTTGCGTCGTTGTGGGGTTTGTCAAGGAAATGCCGTAAAGTGCCAGGCTTGTGTTACGAACTTGGTCCAGACTAGGTGTTACTAATACAGCAGAAGGTGGAGTGAGATCTTAGGCTGCTACTGATGGAGCAAAGGCTGTGGGATCTCCACCCCTCCCTGTCCCTCACCATTCCAGGCCCTGTTTTGGAAAAGCTTCAGCTGGCTGGGATCCAAGGTCCCTGGGAACAGAGAGGACGTCCTGTTCTTCCAAGTGGCCATGCTGACTGACGTTGGGAAATCAATGTGTGACCATGAAGACACAGCTGGCCTCTACCTCTTCTGGGAAATCCAGCCCCTGGGCACATCTTCATCTCTGTGTTGAGAATTGGCTGGCTCTCTTCTAGGTCCTGGTTCTGGGGCTGGTGAGTAACAGGCTGGTACATTGAGAAACAGGAGTGTCTGGCACCTTACGGCACCTCAGGCCCGTGGGTCACAAGCTTCACGCGGCCCTCTGGTCAAGGCCAGGCATCTCCAGTACTTGCCAAGCTTCCTTCAGCCACGCCAGGCTCCGGACCACTGGTTGGGCAACCCATGACCTCAGACTGGCCCAGACCCCCAGGTAAGAACAGTTCGAGATGACAGAACATCTTGTTCTTTAGAGTCCCATGAACCAGAGTGTGCGCCTCCCCACCTCCCCCGCACCCCCACCCCACCCTCCTGCCATTTACTTGTTTTGTAACTTTGGGCAAGTTCTTTACCTCTCTGAGTTCCAGGTTTCCCGGACACACAGACTAACAAGTGTCCCCACCTCCCAGGGCTGTCGCAAGACTCAGGTATTGAGTGTCAAGGCACAGCACCCACATGGGCAGGCATTCAATAAGGGGCAATTATTCTTGTGAACAGAGGCAGCAGAGAGCCGATGAAAACCGGTGTGTGAGGTCCTGGGTTCAGCTCCCAGCACCAAGAAAACAAAAACCAAACAGTGTGGGATGCATACTACAGTGGAGAAGAGTGCAGGCCTTGGGGCCGTACTGCTTGGGCTCAAAGCCAGTCTGCCCTACCACTTCCTGTGTGGCCACAGGTGACCTCTCTGGGCCTCTGTTTTATTCTTGTAAAATTAGAATAATCACAATCAGGTTGTAAGAATTCGGTTAGGCTCAATACACTTGAAACAGTGCCTGGCCCATACTAGAGTGGACCCTTGACTTTCGAACGAGGGCTGGTTGTAACTTAAGTTGGTCAATTGAAGGCTCAGGCTCCTCTACACAGCCTTCAAAATCTCTCTCCTGTACACAGGCAGATCTCATTGTCTTTAGGGAAACATTGGGCCAGGATTTCTCAGTCAACCCCACACAGGAAAGGATGCTGTCATGTTCCTCCCAGAACTCTGTACGGGTTAAATCTGTATCTGAGACCACCTGGAAGCATAAGCGGCCAACATTCAGGTCATAACTCAAGACTTTGTAAATTAAAACTAAAATTCTGGTCAGAACTCAAGTTGTTTGTATGTCAGGCCAGTCGTAACTGGAGGGTCCACTGTAATCACATAATAAACATTAACCATTTCTTTCCTTTTATTATTATACATGTGTAAGTGCATAATGATTATATTCATTGTGGGGAGTTGATGCATGTACACATCCAAACTCTATTTACATCCCTTTCCCTCCCTTCCCTCTCCCCCACTCCACCTCTTGGACCCCTTCCCATTTGCAAAAGATCTACCTCCCTACTTCCTATCATTAACTGTTACTAACCAGCCATACAACCAGTTAATGTTAGTCAAGATAGAGTTAGCAAGAAATCACACAGATGAGGGCTTTTGATGGGACTCACAGGGAACTCACATTCAGTGAGCACCTGCTGTGTATCTGACGCTACCAAAGCCACACACCCTTAAATACATGTGGGCACGCACTCACATGCACACAGTGGGGCAGCTGCTTTCATGTTCATTCTTTTTTGAACCTTTATATTATAAAACAAAACAGATGCAGGAAACCACGAAATTAAATTTGTAGCATAATGAATTATTTCAAGGTAAAAACCCAGGTGAAGAAGCAGAATGTATCTAGCTTCTCCAGGGCCAGCTCCAAGTGCCACATCCCAGCCACAGCCCCTCCGCCAAGAGTAACCATGAATTGACTTTTTGTAGTAACTACTTCTTTGCATTTTTAGGGTTTAGTCATCTGTGTTCATCCCTAGACTTTATAATTGAGTCTTGTCCATTCTTTTTTCAGGGCTGGAGATCGAATCCAGGAACTCTGTGTGCTAGGCAAGCACTCCACCTCTGA